AACAGATGGGGATGAATTATACAATGAATACTAACGGCTCAGGTTTGGTGCCATTGTCTCGGTTCGTGCTAAGACACAAGCAGTTTTATTCACCGTTGCTTTTGCACCATCAACACAAATGTCAACACAGATGTTCCAGTATGTCATATGACTCAAAAGTTATCCAACAATTTGAATATTTCAGCACTACTTGCACTTGTTGCCAAGAATTTACATAAAAGCAGATTTTTGATGATTGGGCCATGCTGACACTGGGCGAATTCAAGCAAACTAAGCAAGCTGAGCCACGTCTATACATCTGTCTGTTTGTTAGACAAAAGTAAAGTTCTGCAGATAAGATATTAACTCTGTCTTCTTGTTTAAAGCTCAGACTTTCAATCAGCAAGTTACTGTCTGGTTGGAAAGCATGAGTATCCTGATTTTTACCAACTTTTCATCTGGTAGACATTCAGCGATGGCAGCCGTGTCTGCGTTATTAGTCTCTGTTCCGTGTGTGCTTCTCCAGTTAATGCAATACATTAGCTTACTTTGTAAGATGTTTCGGTGACTTTATTTTTAGTGTGAAAAGTGTAACAATTTTCAGTTTTTAAAGAGCAAATTATGTCTACATTTAAAATATTCAATACTTTTTAAACAGTTTGTTTCAAAATAATTTGTCAATCAAACTCTCACAGTAAAACTACTAGAACATATTTTTCTGCCCAAATCACAATAAGGTAAGTTATTAACATCTATAAAGCTGAAGGAAAGATAGCTTTTGTCATGTTTTCACTTTTTATGTACAGCTTTCGCATTTTATTGGAAGTAGATTTATCCTTTTGGTATGGAAGGGACCCCTTTAAAATATCACTTTCATCCTTTTCTACAACTTTAGACATAGACAGTGTAATGTGGTGGAGAAAGCAAGTCTTTCCGTCTCCTGCATCTTTGACAAATGTCCATCCTTCACAGTAAGAAAAATATATTATAAATATATATTTTTTATTTCAGGAGAAATATTATTAAAGTTCATAATACTTATATTTTTAGATAAAATTTTAAAAATTAGAAAAGTTTTAAAATTGAAAAATGTACATATAATTATAAAATAAGACAGCAAATGTATTTAATTCTAATTGTGCTTCCATGTAGGCTCAAGATAAAAGTCAAGATTTCAAAATAAGAATGTATTGGACACAAATGGAGTTACGAGGATTATAGTAGAGAAAATTGAAGATAGCCAGGAAGTGCCCAATAAAATCATTGAGAATAAACTAAGTTAATTTCTGAAAAATATATATCATTTATATCCTAAGCTTATTACCTTAGAATATTCTTGAAAACAAAAGCAAACACTTTATTAAAGATAATAGTGATGATATCATCAAATGTCCTGTAGGATCTGGAAAACTCTGCCATACATTCTTGAGAAAATGAGGATGCAAAAAGACAACATTTTAGTGGTAGTATGAAAACAGTTTGACCTTTGGATCTCATGAAAGGGTCTCATAGACCCTAGGGCCCCTGACCACACCATGAGTCTTGAACACCTCTGAGTAATGGGAGTCATAGTTATAATAACATACGAAATCTAACACCTCAGTCATTTCACATAAAGTTTGTTTCTTGCTCATGTAGTCTAATCAGTCAAGGAGGAGACCGTGTTCCACATATTCATTTAGGAATTGAAGCTGATGGAGTTCACCATCTTCGAAGTATGGCTTATGAGGTTGACCATGGAAGAGAGAAAAAGGAAGTGGAGAATTTTTTATGAGCCCAGCCTTCAAGTAAAGTTCAACCATTTTTTCCACATTTCATTGGGCAGAACTCAGTTACACCGCTACCCACACTTGCAAGGGTGCCTGGGAAACCTAGTCACTGTGTGCCCAGGAAGAAAAATATTTGGGTTTGGTAAACAGGAGGCCAGTCTCTAATAGAGCATCTCATTTGCTACATTTACCGTGAGAAACTCTGGATTGGAAAGCCACAGGTATAAATGCAAATGCATCAACAATATAAGAAAATTGACTTGGTGCAAAATAACTGTATTTTTTATATACAGAGAAATATGTTAAATTCAATAACATTTATTGTGCATCTACCATGTCCAAGCAGTGTTCTAGGTCCCCGATAGAGAGAGGAACAGTAGACATAACGTCTCTTAGAGAGCATACTACGTTATAGTCTAGGGGGAGTAGTCAGTAAAAAAAGTAAACGAATAGCAAAATAATAGTGAATTGTGATTTAAAAAACCATGAACGGAGAAAAGAAAGTGGGACACAATTCTGTGTTAGAGAGGGTCATCCAGGAAGGGCTTTCTGCGAAGATAATATTTGAGCCAAGAACTGAAGAATGAGAAAGATCCAGCTATGCAAACAGCTGGGGGACAGCTATGGCAGACAGAGAAAAGAGCAAGCTCCAAGTGCAGAGGATGGAAATAGCCTTGAGCATTGGAGAAACAGAAAGGGTCAGCACGTTTTGAGAGGAGAAGTGGTCAGGCCCAAGAACATGCAGGGCATTAGAGTCCATTAAGAGTCATGGTTTTATTCTCAGGGCAATGGAAAGGCGGGTGAGTATCATGATTGGATTTATGTCTTTTAAAGTTGATCCAGGTTGCTTGATGGAGAATCGATTTGGGGAGATCTGGAGTAGAAGATAGCTTACCAAGTCCAAGTTCATTGTGCTTCTGCCAAGTAACCTGGGGCAATAGATCGATTTTAATATTCTTAAATTCAATGAAGGCTGTTTTGGGAAATTATTGTTTTGTGTTTATTTTTTCAGGTCATGTCGGCCATCTATATTTGTGGTTGTGATATTACAGGCAGCTAATTCAAACAGACTTGCAGAAACCAATTTTTCCTAGTTTTCTTTAAGGCATCAGTGCTCTCACCAATAATGCACAGTCAAAAATGCATTTTCAATTCCTAGAACTGACAATTCTCTCAACTTTGTCTCGCATGAGTTATAAAAATAACAAATGTTGGCCTTCAAACTAGAAAACAGAATACCAGCTACATTTCCACAAGAATCATGGGAACAGCCATGCAAGGCTGAAACATTCTAATCCAAAAGGAAATAGTGAGTAGCAATAATACCTATCAAGCATTATGCAAAGTAGTAAAAATGATATAATGAATAATAAAGAATCCTGATAACTGAAGTGGACAAGCTTGATGCAAAAAGAAGGAAAATATGGATGGGTCTCTTCAATACCAATAAAGCCGCTTCATGGTGAAAACCAATCTGAGTGATAGATGAAGGAGAGAACCCCTACGAGGGGATATCCTCCTCCAAATTGGCTATGTTGTCCTCATTTCTGCTTCTTTCATGGAAAGTGCATACAGGTACTTCCTTCTTTCTATTTTTCCAAAAAGGTAAAAAAATTGTCTTCAAAACAATTATGCAAAGGAATTTGTATCTTGATTCAAAATGTATCACCACATTCTGATTGTGTCCTATAGCAAAGTGAATCTGCACGGCTGGTAGAACTAAACGGTAGCACAGCTGGTCCAGGCCTTTCAGTTTCAACAGATCAGTACACATTACTGTTTAACAAAATTTAAAAATAAAAGAACTGTAATGAAGATAAGTACACTAATCCAGTCAGCCTGCAGTTATGGGCTCAGTGCATCCACGCACACAGGCGTGTGAAGAGGCACACTTGGATACATACAGACACACATGCACACAGTCTTAACGTCCAGAACTAACTCCCTCCAGAAAAAGTGCTGCCCTTTTATATTTCAGTCCTAGATCACTGTTGCTCAGTCTCACAAAATATTTCTAACTTTATAAGGTTGTTAATTTATAGCTAATACCATCGTAGTGAAAAGAAATTAAATTTCACAATCATCTTTTAAATTGGATACATGTGTCTCCAAGATAAATCATAGCCTCTGATGCCTTTGCCCATAAATAAAAGAAAATCCAATGTAATGTAACTGAGACTATAAGGGTGTGCATTATTTCAAAAAGCAAAAAGCCAAGAGAAGTGCAACTCTAGACTAGGTTAATACGGTGCCCAGTGATATAGGTAAGGACTCACAGTTAGTGTTTCCATTCTGCTCATCATAACAGTCCATTTTCTCAGATTAGCACCTGTCAACATCACAAGTTGGCCACTGCACACGATCCCAAAGGGTCCCGTACAAACATGACCACGACATGAGCCGGGAAAACTAGACATGATTTGTCTGTCTTTATTATCGGGAAAAACTTTCTCAGAAGCCCTCCAACAGGACCCCCTTCATATTTCACTGGCCGTATACCTATCTCAACATCATTTCCAGAAATGGAAATGGGTCCACCATTTTTGGCTTATAGCAGTGAGGACACGTTTGAGGCTCAAAAATCAAGTTTCCCCCAAAGTGCGTACTTGAGTGGAGAATGTCAGATAGCTGGACCTGGGGGAGAGTGAGAGGAAGGCCAGGAGGAGAGTGGCTGTTGAGTGGACACAGAATACTGAGGAATACTGTGAAGGCTAGCGTGGCATGAAAAGTTAGGAAAGAAGCTTCGATGAAAACAGGACAGTGCAGTCTGCCAGGGGAGAGGAACGCTAGATTTTATGTCTTAACCTCGTGCTTCCAATATTTCCATTGAAAATTGTTTCAACAATTTACAGAATCTTTGAAATCAGACAAAATAATTGTATCTAGAATAGATAAAAGTTTACCCAAACCTTGAATTACCTATGGATACATTTTACAAAAACTTCTATTGTCTGATTCTGGAGTTAGAGATAATGAGTAAGATTTTTATTTGATGATTAGATGAAGGAATGAGATTGGAAAGTTTTAAAAATAGCTTCTTCTGTATTGATAAAAACCCTGTAGTAATGATAACATGTTTTGTAAATTAACATTTCAGTCTTAACATTATCACACAGTTTCTATTTAACCACTTACTTTCCCCTAATGCAGTTTTTTAGGCAGATTCTTGAATAATTTAATGGTACATCACTCAGCATCATTTTAAGACATAAATGCAGAATAAGACTAACTGTCTTCTTCTCACTTTTTAAGATCCTGACTTTAAGGACCTCGGAGTTTTGAAACCATTACCAGGTTGGTAAAATAGATATTTAATAATGTTCAGAGGCCTTTGTTTTCTGCTATGAAATATACTTTTGGTTTATTATTCAAGCTCCATTTTTGTATGTTTGTTTGGCGTTTTGTTATTTAGCGTGTGAGTTTGAGATGGGCGGTCCTGAAGGAATTGTGGAGTCTATACAAATTATGAAGGAAGGCAAAGCTTCTGCTAGCGAGGCCGTTGATTGCAAGTGGTACATCCGAGCGCCTCCACGATCCAAGGTCAGTCTTCAGGTGAAACAAATTTGGCGATTGACTTGGGAAGTGTCTATAGCCTATAGCGTGCACTGCTTTGAGCCAACTGGACATGTTTTAGTACACTAGTACATAAGCTATCATTTTATTTTGGTTTTGAAATGCAACTTGTCTTCCCTTGTCCAATGTAACTTTCAGCGTGATGAATAATACGGAGAGGGCTGAAGAGATCATTTGATAACCTGGATGAGAGACTCTAATGTAACTACCTCTCTGAAGAATGGACTGAAATGGGTTCTAAGTATAATTATACTTATGCCCTTGTTGTCAGCATCTGCAGTATGTTTGCTTTTTAACCTAAAATCATATTTACAGATGAAATTGTCCAGACTTACAAAATAATGTATCTCTGGAATATAAAATAAACCTGTGATAAGGCTGGGAGACAGTGCTGGACAGGACCTAGGACAGCCAGTGCCCGTGCAAAGGGGCCAGCCAGTACTTCACAGCCTATCAAGCTCCTTTTGATTGTCATCAGGAGAAAGTGTCAGTCCAGCATAACTGAGTCCTCTATTTTTTTTTAATAACATGCTCAGAATCGAGATTTTGTGTTGATCCTTGATTTTTAAATGCTTGCAGGGCCTGGCCCCATGGCCGAGCAGTTAAGGGTCCAAGTGTTCCGCTTTAGCAGCCTGGGTTCATGGGTTCAGATCCTGGGTGCGGACCTATGCCAGTCACTAGCCATGCTGTGGAGGTGTCCTACATACAAAATAGAAGAATAGTGGCACAGATGTTAGCTCAGGGCTGGTCTTCTTCAAGCAAAAAACAGAGGAGGCTTGCCAATGGATGATAGCTCAGGGTGAATCTTCCTCAGCAAAAAAAACAAAAACGCTAGCAACAAATTTTGAAAATTGAAAATATATGTATTAAAAGAAATATATTATGGACCAGACTCAGGCCATTACTTTGCAAAGACTTCTTTAGAACAACCGTATTCATCCTCTTATGGATATATCTTAAGCAATACTGGGGATGAATAGTTTTGTACTGGTAGCTGTCATAGATGTGGAGTATTGATTCTCTGCTTATCCCTCTCCCTTTATTGTCATTCCTCAGTTATTGAGCATAGTTACAACCAAGCACTACTGATTTGTTAGATTTGTAGTTGACTATTTATTGAGGTTGAAACAGTTAGTTATTTAATTAATAGATTTAGTGACCCCATAAAGTCTCAATCCTCCTGCTGGAGAAATGAAAAAGCATGCTTGCCCTTGTCCTCATGTTTCCAGTTTAGTTCTTAGATAGATCTGTAACAAAATAATTGAACGACTAAGACAAGATCATTGATGTGTTTATAAGGTGTCGTAGAGAGAGGGAATTGACCACATACACCTGGTAAGGTAAGCCGAAGGGAGAATCGGACAGCAGTCAGGGTGAATCTTAATGAGAACTAGTCTTGTATCACGTAGACAAGGTGGGCAGGCCTCTTAAGGTAGAGCCGGTGGCATCTATAAGGTCATGGAATAGACACTATGCTTTCTCAGGCATTGAAGTAATTGCATGTGACCAAGTAAGAGTATGAGTATGGAAGTGGATGATGAGTCATTAAGCCAAAGGGCTCGTAGGTCCCCCTTAAAGAGCCTGGATTCATACTGAGAACATTAGTGATATATATGTCCATGAAAATAATCAATAACCAATCTATAGCTTGGAAAGATACGGTGATATTTATCTGAGTCAAGCTGAGGACTAGCCCGGAAGTGCAGTCTCCACCAGGGAAGAAAGCAGTCCAGAGAAGCGTGGTTTGCAGCATGGTTACATTCTGTTTCAGAACAAAGAATATACGTGAGAGGACTACAATTTTTTTTTCTCAAAGTCACAAGATGTTTTGCTGCAGTTTACCACATAGACAGCAGGTCAACTTGACCTCGGTTTTCTGGGAAGAAAAGCTTTTCTTCAAAGAAGTATTGGTATTGGCATCAGAGGAAGGGTGACGTTCATCCCTGTGTTTAAGGAGTGCGATCTCTGCTTTGGGAAAATGTTTGAAGTGGACATACAATACGTGTTCAATGGACCATAAATCAGGCTGCTCTGGGAAAAACAAGTTTTAGGCCAAATCAGGTTTAAACCAGAACGGCTTCCCCGTCTACCTCAAAATATGAAAACGTCTTATTATTCTTATTATCTTCATCATACGGAAGAGTGTGAAGCAGGAAGGTGATGTGATCAGATCTGCATCCTGGAAAAATAGTTTTTGCCTGTGATGTAAGGACAGAAGGGTTAACACGGCAAACAGCAGACTCACCAGGAAGTTGTAGCAGTGACACTGGTGACTGAGGCCAGGCCATGATGGTAGACAGACGAAGGAACTATTCAAGATAGATACAGTAGAATTCGCTGGCTGGATATTCAGGAAGAGGGAAAAATCAGAGCTATCCTTGAGGAAGTTGGTATGTCAGGAAATATTTTTGTCTTTCTTCACTTGGGTTTGCCATGAATATGTCTCTGGGGTTTGCATATAATTTGGAAGCGTGGCACACGTTCCCCAAACTCCCAGTTCCTGGAATTCAGAGACCATGGTACAGGTTCCAGCTTTGCCACTTGCAGGTCTCTTCACATCTGAACAAATCTTTGAAAAAATGAATTATTATGAAGAAAGACACAGTGATTCTTCCTTTAAAAAAAATCAGACGCTATCAGGGGCTGGCCTGGTGGCATAGTAGTTAGGTTGGCACACTCAGCTTTGGTGGCCCAGGGTTTGCTGCTTCAAATCCCAGACACGGACTGAGGCACCCTTTGTCAAGCCATGCTGTGGTAGCGTCCCACGTACAGAATAGAGGAAAATGGGACCAGATGTTAGCTCAGGGCCAATCTTCCTCACAAAAAAAAAAGAGAGAAAAAAGAAAAAAATTTAAAAAAAAATCAAGCGCTATCAGTGACATAAAACCCAACCCACTACATAGATTATAAGGGAGCTAGACTGCAGTTTATTATGCTTTCTTACATAATCTGTGGGTTCATGGGCAAGTGCTATTCATTTTTCTTAGACTGTATGAATGAAAGATTTTTTTACATTTTTTTCGACAGGAAACATTCAAGCCCAACTGCACTGTCGTAACCAGCATCCTTGTCACTGCAGTGTTAAAGACAGGGCTTTTATGAGAGTGCAAACACACACCATTTTTTTCCAGCTGGTAAATAGGCTGTCTTTTGTACGATGCCAGACCAACAATACCCGGTGTACCTGTCTGTTACAGAATTTGGCATTCTATGACCCAAAGGGGAAGCTGCCTGCAGAGCTGGACAAAGATGGCTCTATTGTGACAGGGTTTCTCTGCTAAATTAAAGGTTAGAGGATAGGAAGTGGCTTTGAATAAGTGGGAAAAAAAGCAAGAACTGGAGCTGACTGCCTATGTGGGCTTTCTATTTTTATGGAGTTCCTAGAAGCTTATGAGAATAGACTATCAAAGCACAGGTTACATTTGAAATGGCTCGTGGTGAATATTTGAATGATAACTGATAATTGAAACATATTGCACAATGAAAGTGCTAAATAGTTTACTTGGGTTCTATTAAAATTTATATCAAGTATATATTGCTTCTTAGCCTTTTGACAAATAGAAAATATAGTATTTGGTCTCTCTTTTGTTTGAGAATAGTGATATAGATAATTGCCTTTAATTAGAAAGTGATTAATCCAGATTTCTTAGAGTTTGGAACAGCAAAGCCAGAAAGAACATTAAAAACTTGTTACTGACTAGTTCATTTAACAGATGAATAAGCTGAGTCAGGATAATGAGTTTCTGTATGTGTTAACAATGGGATGTAGAAATATGCCTCTGAAATATGCCTCTATTCAGTATTTATACAGATTCTTGAGCAAGGATGGTAGAAGAGTATTATGGTCCAGTTCTGGATTATATGGCCCAGAAAAGAATTACCAGAAAAGACAGTTGGGTGATGAAATCCTGGTGACCCTCTGCATGTCAATCCATGCAGGCTGGGCTTTATTTCTCTCTGGATTCTCAGTGCCAAGCAAAATGTCTGCCATTCAGTTAAAACTCATGGAAAAAATAAACTGCTAAGTACATAGAAAAATGGACCAGGTACCAATCCTCAAACATGCGAAGCCCTGTCATATGACAGAGGAATAAGAGAATAAGGCTTAATCTGCATGGTTTTAAGTACTGCAATTTATTTGAATGCTTGAACCTCTCTAGAGAAATACCATTTTGGTTCAATATAGAGAAGGTTTTTGTTTTTGTTTTAATAATGAGCCCAAAGATCAAATGAGATTCCACAGGAGGAATCCAAGTAAAGTTTGGCAGAGATTTTGTATAATAATTTTAAAAATCAAGTAATTTTTTTGGCATAGATAATATTAAACTCCTTTTAAGACGAAAACTCAATGACTCTATGATAAGTGACTTGTCCAAATATTTGGCTGGTTACTAACAGAGCTGAGGCAAGATCATCTCCTGACTTCCTGTCCAGTGTGATGTTAGAACCACACTATTTGGAGATATTGTCAAATTTGTTAAGAGAGGAAAAGAGATAAGTCAAAAGGCTTATAAAAGTACAAGTGAAGATAATTAATTTAATGATTAAGCTCTTGGGAGAATAAAACTCTAGCTTTTAATAATTACCTACCATTTAAAATTTCAAATTAGTTAATATGTTGTTAATTCAAAAATGTTTTGAATAAAATTAGAATAAAATAAACATGAAAACTTGACAAGTATAATGTCAATATTTTGCAATGAGGTTTTGCTAAAGGTATATGATGAAGTTAATTGTTGTAGGCAGAATCTTGAGATGACACCCAAGATTTCCAGCCCAATCCCTGGGACTGTGACTATGATAAAACATCACACACCTGAATATGCGAAGTGACCTGGCCAAAGAGGGTTTGGCTGATGCAATTAAGGTTACCAATCAGTCAACTTTTAGTGAATCAAAAGGGAGTTTATCCAGATGAGCCTAATCTAATCACAGTAGCCCTTTAAAAGCGGAGTTTTCTCTGGCTGTGGGCAAAAGTGAAGTGAGAGAGTCAGAGGAACTAAGAAGGTTTCCCAGGAGATAAAAGTGATCCCTGGTGAATGGTCATCAAGAAAACAGGGATCTTAGTCCCAGAACTGAAGGAGCTGGGTTTTCAGCCTCATACACCTTTAGCAGACAACACTGTTAGCCAGTCCACAAGTACTTTTGACCTTCAGAACTTGCAGATAATAAATGGGTGTTTAAAGCTGCTAAATTTGTGGGACTTGGTTATGGAGCAAGGAGAAAACCAGTGAATAGATGAAGCGTAGAAACTATAATTGATTACAACATGAATTTTAGGATTCTAAAGATCGAGTCTGCCCTCATTATCTCCAAAAATGAGAATAAAATTGGGTAAACAAAAGGAAAATTTTAACTGGCCAGGTAACTACCAATAAAAATGTTATGGTTCAACTTTTGTGTTTTTAGTAAAATCTCAGTTTCTTACCAGCCTCCAGATGTGGAAGGGTTACTCAGATGGACTTTAAATACTTTGATACTTTATGTGTAAGAGAAAATCATTTTATATTGTTATTTCAGATTTGTCATAGAGTGTGTGTTTTATAAACATCTCAGGAAAGAATATAATATTCTGGTTTTCTCCTCCAAATAAAAAGGATGCTGCAACCCTCCAAATTCATGGGATAGCCTAGCTAAAATTATAGGGCCTGGCATGTCTGGTCACAAATAAAACAGCAACCACGGAAGTACCGGACTACACACATTTTAGAATGTGGCTTTATTTATAAAAGTGTAAAGTAGTATTGAAACCATGGGCAGTTTTTCTCAGGTTGTGGTAGGTGTAATTTTTATTTATCATGGAGAAAACTGTTCTGGCAAGTCCTAAATAATTGCCCCCCAAAATATCTGTTATCTGCGTATCATTGTGACATAAGGGGAGGAACCAGGTTGAATGGTTGGTATTAAATGTTTGTAAATATATTACTTAGCTAGATTTACTTGCTCTAAGTATACAAAAGGGATTCTGCTCTCCATTTTAGTGTGATTTGGAAGACAGATATTACTAGAAATTGCTTATGTGTTCTGAAGCTTCCTATGTCCTGCTCAGTAAATCATTGTGTCGGCTCAAACTCTTTGTGATTGATTAGAAAGAAGAATGCATCAAAGTGATTCACTGAGAAGAGATTGCAATCTGACTATTTTACTGGAGTTATATATTATTCTGTTTTTCATTTTCCCTTTTCTTCAGCAGAGAAACTAAAGAGTTTTCTGCAGTTTTCTACCTTAAATAAAAACCCTGTCATATGGCACTCTTCCCCTTGGTGATATTATGGCAGAAGCTTTAACTGACGAGACAGTATCATTTACATCATGGTATTGGGAGGGCTTTGCTATGATCGTGGATATATGATGTGTACTAGAGCTGGTGTGGGAGACCACTTTTCTGGCTAATGACGTAAGTTTTGCAGTAGCAGCTCTGCACTCAGGAAAGCTAAGACCCACTGGAATATTTTATTTCTTTTCTTGAAGGATTAAAAAAAATGAAGTTAAAAAAATAATTGAATGCTTCAGAAGTGAATATATAAAATCTAGTGACTGTAATTGTTCACTTCCTCTATAAATGGTATTCTTTCTAATAAGAATGGCCTTTAAATACAGGAGGTCCTTAGACTTCGGTCATTGTGCTTCATGGAAGAACGTAAATCCCTCACCTCACATGGAAAATATGGACACTCTCTAGAACTGTCAAATGAAAAAACATGGGCCAAATAAGCAAATGGCCCTTCTAACTATGGCAATATTCCTCTATAAAATAATCCTATTTTTTTAAGAAAATTTAAGGCAATCATTTATTTCAGAGGGACACACATTTTCTATGAATCTCATTTATATCTTGATACTCAACATGTTTCCTAGCTGCCTTAGGAAAATGGAAATGGTTTTGCTTGGCTTGCTTATTTATTTTGTTTTAGTTTGTTTTCTTAAGATTTTAACTTTCTTTCTGGACTATGAGTCAGAGAATATTTTTTAACTTTATGTGAGGCTGCATAGCGTGATAATAAGGAGCAACGTGTCAGGCAGATCTGAGTTCAATACCAATCCGTTACTTCACGACCTATGTCACTTTGGGAAAGTTATTTGGTTTTCCCAAACCTCAGTGTTTTCATCTTAAAGTGGTTATTAGAAGTGTCTCTTGTTGAGAGATTTGAGTGAAATAATGCCTTAGCACAAAGACTTACGTTATTGCCAATAGGAACCAAATAACAGATAAGTACTTTCAGTTGTTTGCCACATGCAGCGTAAGAAAGAAACTTGAAATAATTCTTCAGACACATTAGGCCACTGAAACATTTCAACCTGAAAACATGAGGCCTTCAAATATCTTTCTTTCTTGAATTAGTCAAATGATTACTTTAAGGAATTGTTTTTCTTCCTGTGGGTATAGCATTTGGTTTTTATAAGTGTTTGGTCTTGGTTGTAAGAACATCGGAGGGAGGGGTTACTTTACATGACACTCAAAAGGAAGCGTCTCACTTCCCCTAGTCAGCGTTTTCTCCTTTTGATAACTTTATATATTTACAATTGAAATTGCATATTGTTTTGAGGGCTAATAAAGTAGGTTAGACTTATTGATAGTATTTGAGAGTATACTTCTTTATTTGATGAAGAATGTACTTTATTTCATTTTTGTTGCATTTAACAAGTTTATTACCTTATGAGTACATAGATTTTTACACATATTTATATTTTTATAGTGTTTTCAATTTGTTTACTTTTAGTCAGGATGGGGCGATGGGGTGTAGTGAAAAGAGCCTTAAAACAAGACTTAACAGGTTTTAATCCAATTTAAGTCTCCCACATTCATTGGCTTACTATCCTTAAGCAGGTCATTTGGGCTCCTTTGCTCCAGATTCCTGGTAAAGGTCATCTGAAAGACCCAATCTCTGTTTACAAATCCATGTGAAAACTGGAAAATCAAACTACTTAGTAAAAACATGAAAGATTTAATATTTTCAGATATGCCTTGTAAAGTGGTTATTTTTGGAATTTTCTGGATACTGTTCAGGAATGTAATATTGCTTGGGAAGGGTAGATCACAGATGGACTATGTGAGTAACATTTGAACGTTTGATAGAATAAATATACAATAATATATAAATTTTAAATATTTTAAATTTTAAAAATTGTATGATATAAAATAAAATATTTTTTCTATGAAAAAATATAGTAAACTAAAGTAATAACTTGGGAATAAATAAAATGCAGGCTTTCCTAGTGTGTTGTTGTATAAGGCTATAGTAATGGCCGTGAATTTAAAGTCAGCATCAAAGTATCTGGAAATTTTAGGACAGCTTCTGTCGACCAAGGAAAATCCACTACAATTTAAACAGTGGATATTTATTTGGGCAATTAGAATTGCAGTTTGGGAAACACGGATTCGTGTAGAAACCCAAAATGTGCTCTGAGGAAGACAAAGGAGATGAGCCTTTATAAAGGCAAAAACAGAGAAATCAAGTAGATTGTTCTACAAGATCTGCGATTGGTGCAGGCAACAATTGTTACTTCTTGGCTCTACATGATTGGTCGCTCCGGCCATCTCTAAGAGAAAAGGTTCTTATCTACGGGAGTAAGCATATTTCTTGACAGAAGGTCAAGGTGACAGCACTGAAGCACAGTTCAAAAGTTACCTTCCCTCTGGGTGGAGACACGCATAAGCCCACTTGCTTACTGGCCTCCCAGCTCCATTTTAGAAGCCTTGACATATGCTATTCCATTTTGTTATTGCTGTCCACACTTCCAACTGAAATGTTGCAGATTGCCTACAATGAAAACCTTCTCACCCATGAAGCATAATGAAACTCAAGCACTTAATATTGTTTCTCAGTTTTGTCCATTTCCCGACATTTCTCTGTTTTTGTTCTTTCTCAAAGTTAAATGAAGATTTCCTGACTTGGGACTTCACATTTTATTTTCGTTTCCTTGTAAGTCTGCAACATACTGTGTTATGTTTTTATGCCATAGTTCAGATTTATATTATGAATACCCTGTTTTGTGAATTATTGCATATAATTTACCACAATTGACATTTTATTATTTGCTTGAAATACTATTTGTTTCAATTAATTGCTTGTGACTTTTTAATGCACACTGGAACAAAGTCAAATAACATCTGCTGATCATGAAACAGTATGTCAGAAGCAGTATCATAGTGTGGGAGGATTATGGACTAGGGAGTCAGATGGGCCTCGTTTCTCATTTCCAACTTATACCATCATAGTCTGAATTTCTTCATCTCAATATGACAATAGAAGCATATAGTGTTGTTGGGAGTAATTAAAAATAATCTATAAAGTAAGTTGCACAGTACTTTTTATTCATTAAATGTCAATTTAATGTCAGTTATGTGGACTTAGCTAAATGTCTTGACTATGTTATAGTGAGAATGATGATGGATTAGCTTTGTTTTGTTTGTTTTTTTATGTACTCTGCCTCAAAAATGAAGCAGTGTAGTTATTTACTAATTTATTTCCAAAATGCATGGAAATAAATAATTTGTATTAATACAAATAGTATCAAAAGATAGTCTCTGATTTCACATTACATTATTTCACTTAAACAAACTAAGGAAAACTAAGTTATGAGAAGGAATAAGGATCATTTGAGTAAAAATGCTCCACTATGGGAAATGGTATATTGAAATAAAGAAAGAATAATAACATTGGAAAAAATATTAAGCACAATTTGATTTTAGTCTTACATCTTTACTTCTTACTAACCACAGGGGAAAAATAATAAGACTGATTGCAATCAAGACAGTCTTGTGACAGTGAGAAAGAGAAAGGACATTCTGGTACTTACTGAACTCTTTCATATTTTGATTCAGGGAAATTATAATATCTTTGTTGTTGTTTTGCAGATCTACCTACGATTCTTGGACTATGAGATGCAGAATTCCAATGAATGCAAAAGGAACTTTGTGGCCGTGTATGACGGAAGCAGCTCTGTGGGGGATCTGAAAGCTAAGTTCTGTAGCACGGTGGCTAACGATGTCATGCTCCGCACAGGGCTTGCGGTCATCCGCCTGTGGGCAGATGAGGGCAGTCGAAACAGCCGATTTCAGATGCTCTTCACATCCTTTCAAGAACGTAAGATTCTCTGCATTTGACTATTTGTCCTTCAAATGTGCCATAGGATATAAGTCTTCATAAGCTGTTGCTCCTGGTGTTTTCTTTATGTCGTTTGAGCACAGCAAGGTGTGCCTTAATAAGTGGTTAAAATCACTGAGAGCTTCTGTCCTTCATTCTGATCCATTGACAGGAGGGAGTTCCATGTTACATTTTGATTCCTGATTTCAGCACATGCATCATAGCCTTGCTAAAGACAGATCACATCCTTCAACTGGGACAGGATGACTTCTGTTTGTCTTTGGTTTCACTCTTACAAAGCATATGGAACTGATGCAGCAGCTTGTGATGAAGTTTTAGTTTGAATCTTAAAAACCTGCCTAAAAATATTTGGTGGGTTCTCTTTAGTAGGCTTCTCTTGCAGTCCCATTGATTTGAAGTAGGTCTGTGGCTGCAGAGTTCCAATTAAAGTCGGCAAAGAGAGAGAATTGCTTGGGAAGAGAGTAAATAGAAAAAGCTTCAGAAAATATTTAAAATGGCACAATGGGTTATACTCAGGATTATGTGCAAAGCACAGCACTTTTTCAAAAATTGTGTTCTAACAAATAATGAGTCATATTAATGGATATATATTTGGAGTGTTCTTTAGAAACCTTGAATAATTCATGTCTAATAAATTTATACAAATGAAAAATAATCCTGAGAAATGCATCTTTAAGGAATCAGCACCTTGTAATTTGAAACTATACATTTGTTAAATAGAAAAGACAAAATATTTTAGAATTTCAAGGATTTCTCAATGATAGGCATAGTAGCCAATATTTTTTCAATTCATAAATGTTAAATGTATTAGACAATTCTTTTACATATATAGTGAATAGAAAGTTTTGTCTTTAAATTCCTTTCTAATTATGCAGTTGGAGAATTCTAGGGCACAGAAGTACTGAACGTCACTCAGTCTTTCTCAATCTTGATACCATCATAGACTGTGTTAAATATTCTCCCAGCATTATTGCGGATTTAAACAGCATGTTGCTATCTATGTCTCTATTCCAGTAGTCGATCAAAGTGTTAGAGGAAGTGTGTCTTTATTTCAGCAAGGTATTTGTCCCCCCAAAATTCTTGTCATTTTCTTGACTAGAATATGAAGAGATTCAGCCTGTAGGATAGCACATTTGGTGTTTTCACTGCTGATTGCTCTACTGTTTCCAACAGATCGTGCCTTTGGTGAGGGGTTGGAGTGTACTTTATTAAATATTCTTATCAGCCTTGGATAATAATATATTGAGAACTTCTATCTAATTTAAATGACACAAAAATGGAAGGGCTAGCTAATATGGGCTAACGTGGGGTCACTAGGAGTCGGAATTAACTTGACAGCACTAACAACAATCTAGTATGTTAGGTGATATAATCACGTTTTTAAAAATATCACAAAAATCTGCAATTTTTATCCAAGCTACACCATAAAATATAGTAGGGCTAAATTATAATACATATTCTTATGTTTCAAATATCAAGTAAACAGCAATAGTATAGAGGAACCCTGACTCCTAGGACTTCTTAAACTTTTATTTCATTCAAACTCAATATGAGCCAATACTTTCTGTACAAGTGACAAAAAATTTCTTATGCGATATTAGCTTATATTAAGGAAAGTGCAATAAACAGCTCAAAGAAGGTAATCTCATGGGAAGCTGCACTAGTCAAATGCATATTGCATAGTCTGTTCTTTTCTGGGTATTATTAATGAGGAGGAGAGCAATCAATTGGAAGAGGTTGACCAGGATGCAGAAGCTTCTAGAATCATGAAAAAAGGGCAATGTTTGTTAAATTAATTGTAGGGAAACATTTAAGTGCAATTTAGGAAAAATTGTCTAGCTCATGGGAGCTGTGATATTCCAAAAGTGAATAGGTTCCCATCAAGGATATTGACTCTGGATAGAGGGGTGATTCGGTTCAAAAATGGACTATCATCTAGCATGAATGGCATAGGGAAAATGTCTATGTTGGGTAGGGGAAAGGACTGGCTAACCTCTAAGATCCTTTTCAACTCTAAGATTGATTGAGTGCTATGAGTCTTTAAAATTCTATTTATACAAGAAATGTCGTATAGCGTACTGTGCACATATCATTAGAAATATTTCTATTTGAGCCGAAAGATAAAGTTGCCATGTAACTAATTAATTGATCTCCAGAAGTCGTTCACATGGGTGGACTTGTCAATGACTAATCCAGAAGAAGAAATAGGGCATTCTTCCTCCGTAGGAAGAAAGCACCCTACCCTTTATGCTCCTACACAGTGGATGGATTATCATTCTCATTTGAATGATGAGTATTACAATGGCATTCTCTGTGATTATCTCATAAATTTACAAATTTACATTTATGATTGAAACAGATTTATCCTCTGTGTCACGGTTCCTATGCAGTTTTGTTATGATGGCTTTTTTCTGCATTGGCTACAACTGTGCAGAATTCTACCATTATATGCCTAAGATCAAAGTCATCCTGTGATGAAGTATGTGGGTGTAGACCAATTTTTTTGTATTGAAATCAAGATATTCAGATATGAGACGAAAATTTCAAAACAAGAAATAGACTTCAATCAATGCTACTACTCAGAAATGGGTGGTTCTAATCTTTACTGCATACACACCCACACACATATAGAGTAAAGATTACAGATGTGAAAGCAATGACCAGCTTTGTCTTACTCAAGTAATAAGAAACCACCTTGATATTTTTCTTGGTTCCTACATTTATAAGATAGTATCTCCACTGCATTGTTGAGAAATGCTTAGAGCATATTCGACAATATTCTAATATGAGTAAAAATCTAAGGTTGGGACCATCAGATATTTTTAGGGGTTAGAGGAGAGCTTAGAGGCCATTTATTTCAATCCCAAACATTTTGGGCTTCAAACAGAATTCAAACAGAAAAGCAAAAGATCCAGGGAAGTTAACTGGCTTCTCCTGCACACCCTCAACCCTGTGCTTAATGATTTGTTGACAGCACTGAGGCAAGAATGTAAGGCCTGACTTCCAGCCTCATAAAGTCTCTTGTGGATAACTTTGCCACTTTTGAGTTAGGGACAGAGCTCGCATTTTCTAAAGGTGATGATGACGATGATGATGATGATGATGATAACAATAGGTAGACCTTATGCATCACTCATATAGCTCATATATGTCAGCATTGTTTTACATACTTTACAAAATATTTGTTGATAATAAGACTAACCAGAATAATTTCCCTTTGGTTAATTGATTAAGGACCTTAACTGCTTATGCAAAATCCCTTTTGTCATATAATGTAACATGATCATGGAGTGATATTCTGTGATATTCACAGATTCTTCCTGCACTCAAGGGGAAAAATATATACAAGGCTTGTATACCAGGGGGTGAAAATATTGGGGTCATCACAAAATTCTGCCTATCATAGTCTACCTGGTGACCCCCAATGCTTCACTTCCCCTGCAGATGCAAAACACTTTCATCGTTTCCCAAAGCTCCCAAGAGCATCCCATTACAGCATTGACTCAAAGTCCAAATTCTAACCTTCTGAATGTGGTGCAGATGAAGCTCCTAGGTGAGTCCTTGAAAGACTCTGAACTTTGGCCCCTTGGGTACAATTCCTTTCTGTGTGTGGATCCATCAAATCAAAGAGACAAGTTGCCTGCCCCAACACTCTCAACACACAATGGTGGGACAGGCATAGGATAACAGTTACAGAGATTCTGGTTCAAAAACGGGAGAATGGGGAGCTGGCCCTATGGCTGAGTGGTTAAGTTCACCTGCTCTGCTTTCGCAGCCCAGGGTTTGTCAGTTTGGATCTTGGGTGCAGACCTACACACCGTTAATCAAGCCATGCTGTAGCAGCATCCCACATAGAAGAACCAGAATTACTTACAACTAGGATACACAACTATAGACTGGGGCTTTGGGGAGAAAAAAAAAAAAAGAGGAAGATTGGCAACAGATGTTAGCTCAAGGCCAATCTTCCTCATCAAAAAAAGCAAAAACAAAAACAAAAACAGGACAATGGAGAGTAAACAGGAGTCCTGGTCCATAACAGTTTTGAAATCCAGCAGGGCAAGTGTTGGATTTTTCTTGATTATATTTCCAGTTCTAGGAATAATCCTCTGTAGCTACAGACTTTGCCCTCTAGGCTCTTGGTTCTGCTCTCTGAGTCATCTTTCCTTTCTCATGGAAGACAGCATATGCTTGCAGCTGAGTAGTTTTATCAGTAGTTTTATCAGTTTGCTTCATGCCATTAGAGTTTTGGGGTTCCAACAACTTCTCTTCATTCGATACTCTCTGTTCCTTTCAGTCCAAGCTGACCATTTTTCTGCTGAAATGATTTTCTCAAGAACCTTGTGGCCCTGGCTTGAAATTCACTGGTTTTTGCTCTCTTAGACAAATGCCACAACCATAAATCTCTTTAGGATAATCCTTTCTCTCTTTTTGGCTCCTCCTGAGATGGCTGAACATCATTGCCCTTAACCTTCCTAAAGGACCTCTCGTTTGACTCAGAGGGTCTGTAAGTCACAACTTTCTTTAACCTCTTGAAAGGGCCTTCTAGTTACCGACATTATGATCCTTTGATGCTTCTGATGGTTTACCAAAGGTTGTACAGTCACACATTCAGCCTTTCCTCTCTGCCACCCTTTCAGCACTCATTTCTGATTTTTAACATCTTTGCCACCCGGAGAGTCTGGGAACTTTCAAAATCATCTGGTTCTAATTCCTTTTTGTTAAATAGTTCTTCCTTTAACTATTTCTTCCCTCCCATGTGTTACTTTAAGCAGCCAGAGAAACCAGGCTACACCTTCAACGCTTTCTCAGTAATTTAGTTAGCTATAAAGCCAATGCTTGTCCCTTACAAGTCAGCTTGCCATATCTTGGCAGGACACAATTTTGGTAAGCTTTCTGCCACTGTAAAACAAAGATCTCCCTTCCTCCAGTTTCTCATAACATGTTCCTCACTTCTAGCTGAGCCCTCACCAGCAGCCCTC